TGCAACTTGGACCAGTCGCGTTGTCTACTTCAAGCACCACCGCGACCACCATTACCACCAATTTCAGAATCCTTTCATTTTGGGGACTTATCGATCAGGTTTTATCGCTCTTTGCGTATTATTATGTAAACAAGAAAAATTGAATTTGGATGTGCCAAAAGAAAATGAAAGGAAAAGATTGAAAAGTTGATTAAATCTCAAGAGGGGGCACTCGATAAGTTTTTTGGTAGTAGTAAACGAACACATAACGAGGATGTAGTTACTGAAAAAGTGTTTAACGAGAATGATAACAAAAATAATACAATTGAGGAAGGACATTGTGTGATGAATGAAGAGATGTTTATTGACAAAGATAATGAACCATTTTTTCTTGACCTTATTGATCCAGCAAATTGGGGAAATATGAATGCGAATTTAAGAGATTTAATTGTATTGAAAGGTCCTGTAAGAGAAAATGATATAATTTTTCCGAAAGATAGAGCAAATCGACACTTCTCATCCATACATTACGTTCGAAAATTACCTAATGGAGAGAAGTATGATAGAAAATGATTGATATATTCAAAAAGTTTGGATAAAGTATTTTGCTTTTGTTGTAAGCTATTTAAGAATGATGGGATCAAAACTCAATTGGCACATGATGGAGTAAATGATTGGAAAAATATTGGTGAAAAGCTTAAAATGCATGAAGTAAATTGCGACCACATCAATAACATGAGTAAATGGATAGAAATGGAATTAAGATTCAAAAAGAGTCAAACAATTGATAAAAGTGTGCAAGAACAAATCAATAGAGATAGAGAACATTGGAGACAAGTATTACTAAGAATAATATCTGTGGCAAAAAGTCTTGCTGAGAATAATTTAACATTTCGTGGGGATAATGAGAAGATATATCAAGAAAATAATGGTATCTTCTTAAGCATGATTCAAATGATTGCTGAGTTCGATCCCGTAATGCAAGAGCATGTTCGTCGAATAAAAAATAAAGAGATTCATTATCATTATCTGGGATACAAAATTCAGAATGAGTTGATACTTATGCTAGCAGGCGAGATAAAAAATAATAATCATTGAGAAACTCAAAAATTCTAAATACTTTTATATTATTCTTGGTTGCACTCCAGATAGAAGTTACAAAGAACAAATGTCTATATTATTGAGGTGTGTAGATATTTCGGCAAGTCCAGTGAAGGTTGAAGAATTCTTTTTAGGGTTTTTATTGGGGGATGATACATTGGGTAAGGGACTTTTTGATGAACTGGTGGATGTTTTGAATAATTTAGAACTTGATATTGATAATGTAAGGAATCAAGGCTATGATAATGGTGCTAACATGAAAGGACAACATAAAGGAGTTCAAAGTAGATTATTACAACTAAATCCTAGAGCATTCTACAGTCCTTGTGGATGTCATAGTCTTAATCTTGTACTTTGTGATATGACCACTTGTTGTTCAAAAGCTAAATCTTTCTTTGGGGGTGGTGCAACGTATATACACTTTATTTTCTTTATCTACTAAACGGTGGAAAATTTTCAAAGAGAATGTAACTGGTCTTACCCTTAAGCCCTTGTCACAACCTCGATGGGAAAGTCATATTGAAAGTGTTAAAGCGATAAGATTTCAAGCTCCGCAGATAAAAAAAAAAAACGTTACTTCAATTAGCAAATATTGATGATCCTAAGACAAAAAGTGAGGCGGAGTGTTTGGCAACATATTGACAATTTTGAATTCTTACTTACTATTTGGTATGAAGTGTTGAATAATGTTAACAGAGTAAGCAAATATTTGCAAGCGGAAGACATGCATATTGATGTTGCTATAGACCATTTAAAATGCCTCATTTCATTTTTCAAAAGTTATAGAGAATCTGGTTTTGAATCGGCCATGGTAGATGCTAAAGAGATTGCAAGTGAATTAAAAATTGAACTGATATTTCGTGAAAAACTGGTTATACATAGAAAAAAAACAATTTGATGAGACTTCTTCTAAACAGATAACACAAACAGCTGAAAAATCTTTTAAGATCAATTATTTCTTATATAAAGTGGATCAAGCTCCATCATCACTTGATAATAGATTTGAGCAATTTCAGAAATATGATGATATTTTTGGATTTTTATTTGATTTGAAAAGACTTAAATTTATTGATGATGATGTTTTGAAGTGTTCTTGCATTAAACTTGAAAATTACTTAAAACATAATACGATTTCTGATATTGATGGAATATAATTATTTTCTGAGTTGAAAATTTTAAGGGAGGCGATATCTGAAAACATATTTGGAGCAATTGATGTATTGGATTACATTAAAAGAATAAACTGTTGTTTTGCGAATGCCTAAATTGCTTATAAAGTATTATTGACCATTCCTGTCACATTTGCCTTTGCTAAAAGAAGTTTTTCAAAGTTGAAACTGATTAAGTCTTATCTTCGATCATCCATATCACAAGAGCGATTGAATGGATTAGCTATGATTTCTATTGAAAAAAATACGTTGGAAAAACTTGATGTTAGTAGTTTGATTACTAATTTTATATCTCAAAATGTGAGAAGGTTAAATCTTATGCTAGCCTAATCTTTCGGGTTGTGAAAGAAGTTTTATTTTGCTATACCATCTTTTGAATTGTATAAAGTTTTCTTTTTAATAAAAAAATGTTAATTATTTAAATATTTACATATTGTTAGACTTGTAAAATAAATTTTGTGCTGAGGGGCCTCATATTAATTAAAGGCCTAGGGTTTCTAAATTCTCAGGGCCGGCCTGTCGATTTTATTTTATTTTTTTCCCTTCAGTTACATGTTCATCTTTGTCAAAGACACTGATGGAAAATATAACGCCCAAACAAAACC